CGGCCTGACCCAAGCACACAGTTCTGGAAAAAAATTCCACTTTCAGTACAACTTTTTGATAGCAAAGTTAACCAACGTTAATATATACTGTAATTCACTTTATGTCCAAACTAGAGGTCGGAGATTCCATGTCTTCGTCATAGGTACATTGTCCTAGAAAAATAGACATGTGTATTCTTTACTTTTTTAATAATCAATGGGGTCTACAGTACAAAAGAATCTCTGTACTCCTTTTTTATGCTACGGAGCACCCTGAAAGGGTTCGCCACAGATTTTACAGACGCGCCGTCACCCATCTGTCAGCTTCAATTTTCAAATTCATATGGAACGAAACAAAAAACAAAGTGACTTTTACGTTAATAAAACCTTTATAGCTCCTACTTGCCAAACAGAACTTTAATAATATATATAGAAATAATATATATATATTATTATTTTTTATAGGTTCAATTAAAGCTATAAGAATAAAAACATTGTCAGAGGTTCGGCATTTCTTTCTAAAACCAAATGTTGTGTCAGCTAACAGACAACTATTTCCTACAAAGTTCCATAAAGGGAGTGTAAACGGTTTTGACAGGAAGTGCCGCTGAAAAGGATTCTTTATAAGTACTTACATTGCCGAAGGAGCCGAGTCACTCTTCAGATCCAAAGTTTGAACCTTGGAAGTGATGTTGTCCACTCCGGTAGCCTTGGTCTCTGCACGAGCTAGACGGCGGAGCTGAGCTGGGGTCATCGGCACTCCGGAGCGTGATCGCTTGTCCATAGTTGACTGCATATAGTCTCAAGAATCGACTAAACGGTGGACGGTGATCTGCCTATTTATACACTACCTGGAATCTCACTGTTCACACCTTCATGACAATGTTTTTCCAGACGACACACGCCAGGTAGGTCGGCAATTTTAATTTACAATTCATATTCAAATACAACAATAAAACGGTAGTAAAGCTTACATCCCCGCGCCGCTCCTAGTACAAACAGCCTTTTTAAGTGATAATTTTTATTCATAACAGTTACATACCTCATGCCAATTTTTTTCAGACAACACACGCCAGGTAGGTCGGCAATTTTAATTCACAATTCATATTCAAATACAACAATAAAACGGTAGTAAAGCTCGCACGCCGCTCCGAGTTCAAACAGCCTTTTCAAGTGATAATTTTTATTCATACATACCTCATGCCAAACACACGCCAGGTAGGTCGGCAATTTTAATTCACAATTCATATTCAAATACAACAATAAAAGTAGTAAAACTTACATCCCCGCGCCGCTCCTAGTACAAACAGCCTTTTCAAGTGATAATTTTTATTCATACCTTATGGCTACGCTCGGCTACTGTCAGGCCACTGAGTGTATATAATAGAGGAGACGACACTTCTTGTTTATAACAACCATGGCTGCAAGCAAGACGAACGAAAGGAGGTGGTTTCGCTCACACTGGAGCGGAATACGTGCATCACTGGACAAGAGCATCGGGAAAGGCTTGCCAGCATTTGCGGTACAACTAGACTTCGACAGAAACTGGAAGTTTTGTGGGCCTCCCGAAGTACTGGAGGTCATGAGGGGCGTGCAGGACCAACTGGAGAACGCCATGTACCGGTGGCAAATGGCTAACCGGGAGGGATCGGAGGACTCAGAGAACTCTGGTAAGATATGATAATACTTGTTTAAGAAGAGCCGACGTTTTGTTTCGATGACCCTCATTTTCATCACCATCACAAATCGTATTTTTTTTTACTTTATTGTCCAGTTTAATCTTAATAGATACATTTCTATGTTAACACAGGCATGCTGACTTGTGTTACTCTCTGCAAGCCGTCCGTCCCCGTGGAACAGCTCAAAGCTGGCGAGGTTCGGTCAGTCTTGTCCTCTTGGATCCGGGCGTTGAGTCCAGGAAACGCCTCGCCCAACTACGGGGATCCGACGGCAAGGCCGGTTTACTGGCCAGAGACCGTCCCGTGGCAGCCACCATCGAAGCCTCCGAAGGGATTCCCAGGTATTGCAAAATCATGCCAAAATAAATTATTTAATATAAAATAAGTCTTGAGTCATACAACTGCTGTTATTTCATGTTTATACATTGTATTACAGTAAAAACAAATCTGCTAACTTAAACCAGAAAAATAGTCTTTTAGTCATCTTCTGAATGGTAAACGGAGTGGCGACAGTTTTATGTAATCCTATCTACTTCTATTGTCTAATGTCTATTTTTTGTGCACAGACTGGACTGGTGCGCTGAAGGGCATCCTTAGGAATATCCTTCTTCATGTCGGGGAAGACCCCGACACATACTACCGCGCCGACGCCGATCGCGACCAGAGCAACCCCGACCGCCCGATCAGCCCCGACGGGCCAACCAACTCGACCGTCCAACCGACCCCGATCAACTCGACCGTCCGACCGACCCCGGCCCCCCGATCGTCCCAGACCAACCCGACCGTCCGACCGACCCCGGTTCCCCGTTTGACCCAGACCAACCTGACCGTCCGACCGACTCCCGCCATCCCAGACCTTTCAACCAATCCCGACCGCCCGACCGATCGCTCGACCGATCCGGACCGCCTGACCAACTCAGTCGGGCCGACCAACGATGACATCCCGACCAACCTCCACCGCACCACCCCTGACCGGTCGACCAACCCCATCCCGAACCACCACTCAACCACATCAACCCCGGACTTCTCCATGCTCCAGAACTCACCTGACAACCTGTCATCGCTAGTTCAGCAACACCTATCTCCTCATCTGTCACCACCATACCCACCTCCTCCAGACGTAGCAGACGTGTCCCCCATCCAGGTCTCCCCCATCCAGGTGTCCCCCATCCGTCAGAAAAGAGCACACATGGAACCTCAATTCAGCCCCAGGCAACCAAGCTTACGGATGAAGAAACCAAGGAACATATGGGTATATACACCATCAAACCCTACCAACCCTACCGCTGGACCGTGTTGAAGAACTCCTCACGCTACCGGTACAAGTATAATTTGTTGGAGCCTGATTTTTCATAACTTGTGATTGTTTGACAATTTGTTTTCTAGTTTTCGTATCTAGTTTTTATTATTCCTCGATATTTCATAACGATTTTAGTAATTTTTTACCTCGATTGTTGTCAAGTTTTCGACCAATGATTGTTGTCAAGTTTTCGTATTTCTTTCCGTAATCAAATTGCTGTAATTTACAATGTCTGTTGCAAAGGACGCTGGGATATGTTGACCAGCAGTTGGCGTCTAAATGATTGGGCGCCATTTTGTTTTCTTCGTTTAGAATGCTAGTATTTCCTCAGACGTTTGTTATGTCTTACACTTGTAATCCCCCTGTGTTGATTAACAACGTAAGAACCAGTAATGCAATGTATGTATATTTTCAATATAAAGTTGATATAAATAAGATATAAATGTTGATTTGCTTTGTTGTTTGTGGCGCAAGTTGGGCGAGTAAGCCAAGCCGACTCCAACGAATTTGTACGTCAGGTAGCATATTGTCCAAGAACGCGTGTGTGCGTTTTCTTCTAATATTTTTTACACAATATAGATATGAATACCAACGCAGGGCACATGAATAAAATCTGTTCTACCTTAGCCCCATTTTTGTTGTGTGTTTTCTGGCTATTTGTTGGCGTCCCGTATGCACGGGGCGCCATCTTGTTTTTTTACGATATGCGTAGACTGGCGAAGTTACAGACTAGGTTTAACCGCTAATTTCCCTGTTTTAGAATATAAATGATAGTATTTCATTCTCCATAGCTATCACTGAGTATTTTGGAGTTTATTTGGAATTATCCAGGTGCATGTAGTGCTGGCGCTTTCTCCGAGTTCCATGTTCCCAGTTTTCTGTAAATCGAATGAATTTTCTGTAAAACCCTGTAGAGAAAGAAGAACATCGAGTTAAACTGTATCAATTTGCGATCTTTTTCTAATCTATAACGTCAGACCAAGAACATTATGCAGCTGATCTATATTCACAAATCTAGTTCTGCTGAGTGCAAGTGAACACAACATCGGTAAATGTCTGCCGAAGTTCCGATCAGTAGAGAGCCGTGCGCGGCCCCGGGTAAGTCTGCAAAGCTTCGTACGTGTGCGCGGCCCAGCACACGTACGGTAAGATCGACGATATTCGCACGAAAGAGTTGCCTATTGTACGTGTGCGCGGCCCAGCGTAAGATCGACGATATTCGCACGAATAGGGTAGTCTGCGCGCCCCCGCTCTCAGGTGAAGAAACTCGCAGCCTGCGACTTTCGTCCCCTAGGACGACGAAACTCGCTGTGCGATTCTCTGCAAATCGCATACGATTATATACCTGGAAGTTGAACATCACTAGACATAATTTACTTAAATCAGGTCCTAATATGTATAATTTATGAGGAAATGCTAGAATATCCTTATCTCTTAAGGGCACGTTTATTAAAACCTCATGAGAAACTTATGACTGGCTCACGTACTTAACCCTACCTAGACCGGGCTTTTTTTGACATGGGGGGACGGGGG